CCGGGGCGGGGCCTCACGGCCGCAGGGCCGCGGGGCGGGCAAGGGCCGGCTGGCGCTGCAGTGCGTTTTGCATGCGTTTTACCGATCGCGGTGTGTAATTGGATCTAATCTGGAACTATCTGCTGGAAATTCCTAGCCCCTTATTTCTTTGCGCCCCTGTTCTCTTTTTTTCGGTCTTTTTCTTTTGTTTCCGCTGCTGCTTCTCTTGTAAGCTCGCACCGTCCGGCGAGGGACGACGACAAAAAGGAAAGGGGAGTAAAAAGGCGTAATGCAACCGCATGGTTGAATTCTTCAGTAGTGCTGCTACTGTTTCCACGAGTCGGTGACTGAACTGGCTGTTTCATTAGGGATCCAGGTGGGCTTAACGTTGGATTCTATAAAAAACGACGAAAAAGTAGCACAATTAACAAAATTTAGTCCATTTCTAGCTTTTGAAATTTTCCTTGAAGTTCATAGCGAGCTCGGTACGCGCTTGACTGGGTCCGGGGGACAAACCGCGTCCACTTTTGAAGTTGCTCGGTACACATTGGGACATTGCCAAGTTGCTGGGACATTAGGACAGCACAGCCACATCTGTCATAAATTGTCTTGTAACAAATAAAACAAATAAAAAGTTTTATCGTGTGCGTGGTTCTTACAGTTAGAATTTAGGATTTAGGGGCTTTCTAGAAAGTATCAGAGACAATAACACAAAAGACAGAACTTCTCCATTTTGAGCAGCGTGTTCTTCTGAATGGTTCTATTCATGCGAGTGCTCGCAAGATTCAGCAGAAAGTTTTCCGCGGCGGATTTTGAATGCTAGGCAGCTGAGGCACATTGGGACAGATGTAGACTCTGGGGAAAATTTCTCCACCGGCTGAAAACGCTACAGGATGAAGGGCCATACATGAAAGCACAATGTAAGCAAACCCTGGCCGTTCCAGCATGCTACCCAAGCCTATCCCTAAAGTACTCAAGGGAAAAATCCGTCTCAATGTGCCCCACCTCGTGGAGATCCGATCTGCAGTTATTTATTTGTGCATCCCGCCAATAGGTTGCTTTGCGTCTGTATGGTGATGTAACGGGCGGCGAGACAGACATTGCTCGCCTCACTGCTCGGCTGGCCTTGCAGCCCTATGGTTGGTTTGTTGCTGCAGCGTTGCCAAGGCAGAGCCAAGGCGAGAGAGGAATGGGATAGAATGAATTTCCCTGTCGCCCCCGCCCACCCCGTCCCCCCTCCGACTCCAACTCCTCCTCCGACGTCGACGACGACAGTGCGGACGGCTCGCCGAGAGAGAGGCTTAAAAGTGTTATTGAGCGTCGCATCGATGATCCATCGCGGCGTCGTCGTCCTCCTCGGCGTCGTGGTCGTTTTGCCCGCCAGGCCGCGCCACGCCACGCCGCGACGCCCGCATTAGTTCGCGCGGTGTGTGGCGCACCCACCTGCCGACCTGGACGCTGCCGTGCGACACACACGCAGACACACGCAGACACACACACACGCGTGCGCACTCACGCACAGTACCAAACTCTGCAAAGAGGACACTGTACAAGCCTTTCTCCTCCCAATCAATGATCCTCCGCAAAGCGGTCCCATCCGGTGGCTGGCTGGCTTGCGGGGGGCTTGAGGGGGGCCGGGGGCTCCGAGTGCACTGAACCTGAAGGTCGCTCATTGCCGCCTCGTCGTCGCCAGGCGGGCCGACGCAGGCCGACGCCGGCCCGACGCGCCGCGACGCCAACTGGTGCGAGTGGAGTAAAGCCCCTCCCCTCCCCGCGCGCCTATTGTCGCTGTGGGACGCTCCGCCGTCATGGGGCTGTGCAAGCATTATTTGCTGTCACACCGTAAATCCCCTCCGACGTTGTCTTTCCGCGCAGGGAAAATTCTATTCGTTGTACAAATTCGAATGCTTTTACGGAATTTCCTTTCTTTTGAGAAGCGTTTCCCACTCCCCGCGCCCGTTACCGTAACGCAATTTCAATATGGATTATCGAAGGCCGCGCGCCGCCCGGCCTGCAGCTTGGGCCGGCAGCCTGGCGCATGCAGGCGACCGTAACGGTTGTGCGGGGGGTATTTAAATTGAAAATGAACTGTGTCGCCTCGTTACGTTACCGGGGCACTGATCATTCCGATCGTTCTCATCCACTCCCACGCCTCGCGGATCATTTTGATGCCATTTCATAAATCACCCGGGGTAAACTGTCGCGTTTCCGTGAGCCGTTACGGCGAAAGTCGCTGTCGCCTGGGAGCGCTGGGGAAAGGGGGGAGGGGGGGTCATTGCCGATGTGACCCGTGTCAGTGTCGTGGCGCCTGCCTTCGTTCGCTCGCCACCATCGTTATTTGCAATTTTCGGCAGCCCAGGTCGAATCTCTGGCCGCCCTCCCGCCCGCCCCCACCCCGCGCCTCCCTCGCCCCCCGGCCCGCAGAGACTTGGGCCAGAGGCGTTCTTCGGCGATGCGCGGTTAGGTGCGGCGCTGTCCGGACGTACTTGCGCCGCGGTGCGCCTCCCCGCCGCCGCGCCGCCGCGCCACGGTCACTGGTGTGAGACCAAGCTTGCGGCCCTCTCCTTACCGTTAATAGAAAACGGAAGCGCTTTGGCATCCATGTGGCTTATCCGACGCCAAAAACACCATGTGCACACCACAAGTTTTGACCGTTTCAATCAATTTTTTAAAAGTTTAAATTTGAATAGCAATGATGCTAAAATCATGAAAAAAAAAATCAACGTTTTAAATGAAATTTAAGGAAACTGACAACAAAACACAACAAACACTGTGGAATAAACGGTGCTGTTAAGTAAAGTCCCAAAAGGCATGCAAAGCAATTTCAAACTTTCAAAATTTCCAAAACTTATATTGGTAAACTGTAAATTACGAGTTGTTTCGGTGATGTGCACTTTGTACCAATGAAGCACCACAGTGGACGGGGCAGGGATGTGTGCTTTTTTTCTCTCGGCCCTTAGTACTTCTAGGACGCGAGGAGGCGCTCGGCCTGGCATGCCCTGCCACAAAGAGGTGCCTGACCTTGGCCTAGAGCTATATCCTTAAGAGTTCGATGCCCTGTTTTTTATTTTCCTCGCGACGGGTCCTCCCCCGTGGCGCAGTGTGAGTGCACTTGTGATCCAGCTCGTAAAAGTTGTTGATCGCCTAGCGGCAGGCTGGGCTGCTTGCTGGGCTGGCTGGCAGCAGCCTAGCGGTGCCCATTCCCCCAAAGCACCCTGCCGCCGCTGGAATTAATTCACCTTCCGTTAATTTGTCCGCATCCCCAACTGGTTTGCGTCTGTACGTCTGTGGGACGCCGCGAGTAGACGCCGCGAGAGACGCGCGTATCGCATTTATTGTCGGAACGAATCAATAAAGTAATCGGCCGCGAGTTATGTGTATCGGAGCGCGCCGTGGGCACTTGTACAGTTACCGCACTGTTTCCATCTTTTTATTGAAATTCTCCCCGCGCGATGGGCGGAAGGGGCATCGTCCGGCCGACCGTCCGGCCGACCGTCCGGCCGTCCGTCGGCGTGCTCACCCGGGGGCGGTCATTCTCCCAACGGGATGGTGATTTAGGATGGTCCCCGACCGCATGTATAAAGCCCAAACCACAAACGCACGCGGCGCGCGCTGCCTCTAAACTCATTTAAAGGAGACTACCGCGACCGCCGCGCCGCAGAGCCCTCGGAATGCCGGCAAGAGAACCGCCGAAATGGCGCCGCAGTGGGCAGCAGCTTCCGCCGGGTTTTGGCACTCCCTGGGCAAGCCGAGGCTGGCAGGTGGATTACGGTTTACGATTGTGCCGGGGGCGGCGGGGTGGCGGGGCGGGGCGGGCACTGCTTATCATACTGGAGCACACGCGTTACTCGGCTGCTGCATGGATTAGCAGAGGCAGCGCAGCGCGTTTCGGTTGGAAGCGAGCGGCTCGGAGCATCGGAGATCGAACGCAGATGGAGCGGCCGTCGTGTGTTCCTTAGCGGTCTGGTTTCGAGCCGCGCTGCGCTGCGCTACGCCGCTGCCGGCCGTCCGTCCGTCCGCACGCAATCCAGTGGCGGCGGCGCACCTCTCACGCATTTTTGCTCGTCTCGCAGTAAAGCGTCCCTACCCTGCCAAACGTCCGTTCCTTTCTCCTGCCCGCTTTCGGGCGCTCCAAACAAAAGCGAACTGCTTCCGCGGGGATGACGGCCGCTCTTTTTTTGCCCGGCGACATGTTTACGGAGGAACGGGTTGGACGCGTTCCCCGGCGTGCGTTCCGCGTTTGCGGGCAGCGCGTTGGCGGAGCCGCGCCGCCACGACCGGCCGGGTCCCGGTTGGGTGCCGTGCCACTGCCGTGGTCCTCGCTGCTGGACGAGGTCAAGGTCTTGGAGTCGCAGCCCGGGAGCAGTGCAACACGCTGTGCTCGCAGACGGACGGCCCACAACACGAGCAACATGATCCGCGCAGACGCGGGGGGTGTTTAGCCGCCGCCGGCGGAGTCATGGCGGAGTCTAGCGCGGCCGAGACCTGACCTGCCTCAACGTGCCCGGTCAGGTCGTGCCTCTGTGTGTGTGAGTGTGCGAGCGCGCGCGCGCGTGTGTGTGTGTGTGTGTGTGTGTGTGTGTGTGTGTGTGTTGGAGTTGGCAGGTTCCGAACGGCAGCCGTCTCGCCTACTCCGGTACTAGTTGGACGCGTCGGTTTACTTTTAGACCTAGATTGAAAGGGGCAGTGCGCTTCGCCGCTTCGCCGCTCGGCCTGCTCGGAGCGCGTTGCCAGCGCTGCAGCGGTGCAGCGGAAGTGGTTCGACCTGCTTATGCGGCTCTATCGCCGAATTATTTATTCAGCCCGGATGTTCCGTGCGCGTTGCGCCTCGCGTTGTGCGCTCCGAAGCCATTGCCTCCCGAGGCACGCGGCGACGGAAAAAATGGTCTTTGTGCGGCACGCCCGGCACGGCCAGTGACCGCCTCACCGCCATCCTTCGACCCGACCTAGCGTGTGTGCTGGGACATTTTTTGTCCCGACCTAGGGCTTGGGCACGCTTGATTTATTTGTACAGTACTCACCGGGGTAGGTGTCGGCGTTGGAGCTGAACAGGACGCAGAGGCCCGTCTCGTAGTTGACGGCCTGGCACGAGTCGTTGCCCTGGCAGGCCTCGAGGCAGTCGGTCAGCATGAGGGTGCCCGGCAGCGAGTCCAGGAGGTCGTTGGGCGCCGAGAACACGTAGCCCGTGATGAGCTCGAAGCCGATATTGTCCGGGTCACAGTCGCCGTCGGGCGCGGACAGCCCTGACGGGGGCTCCTCGCCGGCCGACGGCCCGGCCGAGGTCGGCGCCGAGGGCCCGGTCGACGCGGAGGCTGCGGGTGCGGGCGCCGCCGTGGTGGCCGCGGCCGGCGCCGACGCGGCCGTGGAGGTCGGAGTGGCCGACTCCTGGCGCCCCTTGGTCCGCATGGGGTCGGTGGCGCCCTGTGCGCCGGCGACCACCAGCAGGAGCACCGCGACGGTGGAGAAGCGCACAGCCATGGTCGCGAACACCTGCGCGGAAAGTCACTCACTCACACACTGGCACTGCACACGCGACGGTCCGCTACGCAAGATAGGACGCACTCGCACTCCTCAGTCCTTCAGACCGACCGTCCGTACGGCTTGGACTCGACTGACTGGTTGCGAGCCGGGCGGCAGCCGGGCGGCCAGGGCCCCCTTCAGGCCGCGGAGCCCCCGGAACCCCTCCGGAGCCCCCACCACCTGTCTCGATGCCGGCCAGGCTGCGGCCGCGCTGCGGCCGGGCCGAGGGCCGGGCCCCCTCTTTCTCCCCCTTGAAGCCTTGGCCGTGGCCGCGGTGGCCGTGGCCGTGGCGGCAGTGGCGGCGCCGACGCGGTAGATGGATGGACGCCGCGGCTCGGCGTTGTGCAATGTTTTGGAGGGCCGATAGTCTTAATGACTTGTCGCGCAGGAATGCTGCACTCGGCCGAGCTCGCCCCTTTTGCGAGTGGCGTGAGCGCGGCGGGAGCGCTACCTGCTGCCTGCGGCCTGCGGGCGTGGGTGGATCCGGGCGGGCCCTCGGTGGATCCTCGCTGGGGCCGAGGGATCGGCAGCCCGCCGCCGGTTTAGCATTATCTCTGTTCGTGATTGCCGCAACAACGTTTCCACGAATTCCAGATTCTCTAAAAAGGGAAGAAAAAATAATCTGGAGAGTGATGGGAGCTGAGTAGTTCGCTACCATTACGTGGGACACCGTCTCGGCACCGCGATGGCGCGCCACCGCGACGCCGCGGCGATCGCTAATGCTCGGCGAGGCGGCGGTGGCCAGGCCGGTGGCCAGGCCGGGCCGCCACACTGTGCGCCCGCCGCGACATGCGAGACTGTACCGAGACTGGCGATAATTGGAACGCGTTTGGGGGGCCGGGGGGCCGCAGCCGCGCGCAGCAGCCGTCGTCGTGGTCTGCTAGCGTTTATATCAAAATCTGCGGCTGGAACGGACGGCGCAGAATAATATTACCGCAGAGTGGCAGGCGTTACGTTGGCAGCTTTTCGTCCTTATTATTTTGTTTCTTTTCGGTGGTTTCGCCCCTTTCCCCCGGGGCTCGGCCGGTGGCTGGGGGCGGCTCTCGGGGCGGCCTCACCCCGAGGTGGTGTTAATTATGTGCCCGCTATCGGTTTGGTGCCGGCGGGGCGGCGGGCTGGACCGCTGGCCGGCCGGGCTGGACCCACTGGCCGGCCGGGCTGCCCGGTGTCCATTTCATCCGAATGTCCAATAAAGCAGGTGTATTATTGCCCCGCCGGGCGCGCGGGGCGCGCGCACCCATGTGTGTGACCGTGTGCGTGTGTGTCCGGTGCACGTGTGTGCGGCGGTGTGTGCCTGTGTGTGTGTGAGGCATTGACCCCTCCGAGGTGTATTTACCGGTTCCTTACTCGGCGAGGGCATATCATCATACGGCGGTGGCATTGTGGTCTGCACTTGCAGCAGGTTGTAGACCCGGCATTTTTCGCCCAGGCTAATTAATTCCCTTTTGGTTTCGTGAAAGGGGTTCGGCGTTTTTGTCCGCCGTCGATAAGCGGTGTAGCGGTATGGCGTAGGACGGGGCCGGGTCAACGGGGAAAGGCAGCGAGGTTGTTTTTCTCCCGGACTTTTGTCTTTACGTGGACCGAGGCATGGGGCAGCTCCGAAGAGATTGAACGAAAAAGTGGTCGGTTCCGGGTTGGGCCCCTAGCCAACAGCAGCCCTGTTCATTATTTCAAAGTAGTCCTTCCTCACTTTCCTCCTGACCCCGTGGCCGCGGTGCCGCGGTGCACGGTGCCGAGATGCGCCGCGTTTTCTTGCGCACTTCGCCTGTTTTTCCGCGTCGCGCGGGGTGTGATGTGCAAGTGGCCTTTCGCTTGCCGCCGCTCCTACACGGCACTGTGCAGCACCGCGGCAGTGTGGCGGGTCGGGCTGCCGACCAAGTGCACAGCCAAGGTGGTTTGTAATTCAGCTCTTTTTTTTCGCTGGAACCGTTTTTGTTCCCGTGTTGGCACACGAGTGTGACAGTGAGTGCGAGTGCCACGCTACTGTCCTGCTTGGGCCTCGTTTTGTGACCTGCGCTGCCCGGCCCGTCCCGTTACGTTGACGAGCGCCGTGCGTAGTAATCGCGTTTCTCCGGCGATTAATCGAAATGCCACGCCGCCGCGCCACGCACTCGCGGCACTCGCAGCCCGATATTTGATGGCCGCCTGCCGCCCCGCCCCGCCCCGCCCGGCCGCTGGACCTGCGCGTTATCGCGGTGCGGCCGGTGCCGCCGCGGTGCCCTTTGTCGCGTCTCGCTCGCGTCGTATCGCCGCGGCCGCGGATGCGTGTGTTGGTGGCGAAGAAGTTGTTTCCGCTCGGGATCCCAATTGGCCTCGTTTTTTCGCATAAAAGGGGAACTGCTTGCATGCTGCCGTGTGCCGTCCGCGCGCGGCCCTGCACTGTGTGTGTGTGTGTAGTATGCGTCGTGTGTGCGTTTGTGTGTGCGCGCGCGCCCCGTTTGTTGCCATCGCTGTTGCCATCGCCGTTGCTGGCGATACTAATTTGGATTTGTTTTTGTATTAATTTTTCCCACTCTTGCACACCCGGTGGGATCGGCGGCCGGCTCCGTTCGTCGCCAGTTTGGAATTTATGTTTGTTTTCCACTGCTAATTAGAAGTGGCTCTTTTCGGTTCGTTGCAAGGTGCCGGGCCACCGGGCCCTGGCGCCGTCCGGGGCGCGATCGCCGCCGATGGGCGGAATAATTGGATTATGACTAATCCTCATCTTTAGAACACGTTCGTCTCTGGTCGCGTGTTCTTTTTTGGACTTGTTCTCACTGTTGCTCCCTCCACCTGGCCCGGTGTCTGATTTGGCATGGGAATGTGGGAGATCGTGTCGGACAAGCCTGGCGGACAAGCCCGGCGGACGGCGGCCGCGGATCGTACATTAATTTGGCACTAATGCCCGAGGAGCGGCGCGAGGGGCGCGGGGCGCGGGGGCTGGTCCCTCACAAACGCCCGGCGTGTCGCTCTCACCGAATAAAGTAACTGTCCCGTAGCGGTCCGCGCGGCTAATGGGCACCGGTCACTCATTATCGGCCGGATTGTTTATTAATCACCTCGAGTGCGCCGCCGCGCCGCCTCCTACGCCCTCGTTTCGGGCCGGGCCTTCGGTCCGTCGGGGCCTGGCCCGGCCCGGCCGCACATCCGTTTCGGATGTCGCACCTCTTAACTTTTGGACGTCGTTCGTCAGCCGAACGGTCCGGCCGGACCATTAGGCTTGCGTGGGAGAGGAAGGGGTGAGTGTGTGTGTTTCCTCCCAGCGTGCGTACAGGTCTCCGACGCCGCGAATCTCGTGGACTGCAGGCCGGGACGGACAGGCGTGGATGGCTGGTCTCTACTCCTTGCCGACGGTCGAAAAGTGCTGCTCTCAACAGCACTGTTCTGAGCCTGTTCATCCCCACCGGGTCAGAAGACCGGGTCAGAAGACCGGGTCAGAAGACCGGGTCAGAAGACCGGGTCAGAAGACCGGGTCAGAAGACCGGGTCAGAAGACCGGTGGAGGCGGCCAAAATTCCAGACGCGTTTTGAGCTCCAGAACGTGTTACCCTTCCAATCGATTGCTCTCTCTCCGATTGGTGGAGTCACACTGTGTAGCGATTCTGGAGCTAAAAACGCGTCCAGAATTCTGGCTGCCTTGAGTCCGGAGCATCATGGCGCCCCCGGGTCGCGGCAGGCTGGTCAGTGAGTTGCAGGTTGCCGGCACCGAATAGATGCCAAGCGGTTTAGGGCTGCGCGCGCTGTGCCTGGCCCAAGGCCTGCCCACGCCGTGACTCTCCGGGGTGACGGCGAGTCGGGCAAAGCAAGCACAGCGCGGCCCGCACCTCGTTCCATTCAATTTGGCTGCTTTAATTGTGCGTTATTTACGCGCCGAGCCGCGGCCGCGGTGATGTAGTGCAAAGGCCCGCGCATGCTGCGGTCGCGCTTCGTGCAGAAAACGTCTCGTTTTGTTATTGCTTTGTTTACGACTAATGGCTATGTGCTTGCGCTTTCCGTGGCCGGCAGACCTGTATTTTCCGGATATATTGCATGTGTAACTATGCAGTCGATAACTGTGTGTGTGTGTGTGTGTGTGTGTGTGTGTGTGTGTCACCGGGCCGTCGTATATCAAAGGGCATCCTTTCCGGCTACGTTTCAATCTCGTGATGGTGCTGCCCGTTGTGCTGGCTGGAAACTAAATGAAACCTGCTTCCCGTGGCCCTGCTGCTGCCGCCGCGTGTCTCCGTATTGAAAAGGAAACTGAGATTGGCGTCCAGGAAGTCCTCTGCCCACTGCGCGAGGCAGCCTCCAGACTGCGGGTGGGAATGTAGGATTCTTGACGATAAAGAGAGAAGAGTCCAAAGTTGTCCTTTTTAAACAGGGAAAATGTTGAGACCCTTTAACTTGATGTGATACTTCTACTCAGCGTTCGCCAGCCCAGTCAGGGATCAAAGGAGAAAACAGCGCTCCACCATTCTTTTTTTTCTGTCCAAATAAGCTGTTTAACTGTGGCGCTGCGGCCAAGCGCAGGCTTGACGTTCTCCAACGCGATGGTACCGTTGGGCGTGGCGTGCCGGACGGTGCCGGGCTGCAGTTGCATGGGTTGCCTACCCGGCGCGTGCACCGCGTGCACCGCGTGGTGGCCCGCGGGCGTGTCCTACTCGGATTTGGGTTGCCTGCGTGCCGCGAGTGTCTGGGCGCCGCACTGTGGTTCCGCGCCTCGGAAAGTGCACTGGGAATGGTCCGGCACGGCGGCCTGCGCCTGCGCGGATGCCGGGGCGAACTGTACGTACCAAGCCGTCATGCAACGCAGGAGCCTCTCTTGACTTTGTGGGAAGAGCACCCTGCGGGGCGCGGCGAGGGCGCTACTTCCTTTTGCCAACACCCTGGCAACGCATTGACACAGCACCACAGCTGGCCCGAATTCCACGGGGTTATGGAATGAGTGAAATTTGCGCACGAAGGGAGGCTTGTACCGCGCTGCACGCTGCCTCTTGCACG